TCTTCCCTGTAACGCCTTCCTGTTATGTATCAAAGTCTCTACCCTGTAGGGCAGACCAAAGCAGTAATATTTCCCCCTATTTTCAGATCCCATATCGGTGGAGTTTCAAGAGGAAAATAATTTGCCTTAAAAGGCTTCAGAACATATGCAGATCTCAAGAATTCAAATTATATCTTACAAACGATATTGATGGCAGTGCAGATTGATTCAGTCTAAGAGAGTTAAGTATAGGTTAATCTTTGCAACATGTGAGACAGCAAGGACTTTAAACACACTGAACTGTCTCTGACAAACAAAAATAACAGCAGAAGTCCAGAGTAGAGAAATCTTACGAACTCACTTGACTTCTGTGCTGGACATTGACATTTTCTATGTAGAATTTGCAGCCATGTTAGTAATTATGCAGGGGAGGGCTTGGGCTCTTACACTCAAAGCCTGCCTTCTAAAGCCATTAGAAACCCTTCAGCTATCCTCTTTGCCACTTTCCTAGCTTCATCTGCACAGTGCTGCAGCCTGGGTCCCAGTGAACGCCTGGCTAAGAGGACTCAAGCCACATATACATTGTCTTCTGCTTGTATGAGTTCAGTAAGCAGCAGAATCTGGATTCTTCTTCATTAAGCTTCCAGATAAACAGTGCTAGTGTTCCTGATGTTCAGAAAACTGGTTTTGAAGCATTGCAACACACTCTAAGGACTTTTTATTGGAACAGGATATTTAATGGAAAAATATGCTTAAGAAATGAGTGCAGAAAATGGAGTGAAATGAATCTGTTTTAAGACTAAGAAGGAAAAGGACCATAAGGATAGGAAGAAGTATTGACCACAGTATTAAAAACAACAAAAAAGTGCCATCAAACAAAAACACATGCACATTCATTGAAGAAATGTCAATTGAAAGAGCCTATTCTGCTCCCATTAAACAGGGGAAGTTTAGATTGGATATAAGGAGGAAATTCTTTCCTGTTAGGGTGGTGAGGCACTGGAATGGGTTGCCCAGGGAGGTTGTGAATGCTCCATCCCTGGCAGTGTTCAAGACCAGGTTGGACGAGGCCTTGGCTGATATGGTTTAGTGTGAGGTGTCCCTGCCCATGGCAGGGGGGTTGGAACTTGATGATCTTAAGGTCCTTTCCAACCCTAACTATTCTATGATTCTATGATTCTATTAACAGAATGAAAGATGTTGTCATTCCAGTTATGCAAATGTTTTCTCTAAAACATCTAAGATACTTATAACATGATGTTGATCTAAGACACTTAAAACACATGTGAGCCTAGACATGAATAACTAGGCCCAATGCTATTCACCTTCCACAGAAGGAGAGGAGGGGTCCTTGCAGTATAGTAATGGTGGATACCTTGTGTGTAAGAAATAAGGTTTTATTGAGGCCTTACAGACTCTCAGATAGTACAAATAAATCTCTGCTGATTACCAAGACCTTTCAGGTGCTTTGTCCAAGCCTAGCTCTATCCTGAACTACTTGTGAATGGGAGTGAGCTGAGGAACAACTTGCACTGCAATAGTGTAATGTAATGGGAGGGGGTGCTTCCAAAGCACTGGAATGCTTTAGGAAATTAAGAATAATTTTGAACTGCAGTAGGGAGCAGCATGTGATTTACAGCTCCCTTGCTAACACCTGTTAATGGAATTAAAAGTTCAAAGGCCTCATAAAGTCATAAAGTTCATTAGGAAAAAGTGGGATTGTTGTCAGTGCCCCTTCTGTGCACAAAAAAGCTCCAGGCCACACTATCACTTTGGGAGTGCAAGTAAACCTTTGGGGGAGGGAAGAGGGAGACAGTCCATAAGGAATATTCTGTCATTGAGACTTCCTGAAATGATAAAAATCTGCTAGGAAACACCTGCAGTGCAGTAGGCATTTTCAGTCGGTATGATGAACCTTGCCTGGTACCAGCAGTAGATCCCATGTTGCCATCACATCATTTTTTGTGTATCTGTTGTCTTCACTCTGATCCTGACAAATGGCTTGTGGATGTTTTAGGCAAAATGGGTGTAATAACGGAGAACATCCGTTAGATCCTATCATCTATGCTAATTGGAGAGTTGTCCTAGTGAAATTAGTGAGACCACACCTGGTGTAAAGCACAAATTATGGCTAAATGAGGGTTTCAGAGTAATTCTTCACCTTTATAAATGAAACCAAATTCTGCATTTTTGAGGCAAAGTGTAGTTAGATGGTTAACCAGGCAACATGGAATCTGCGTGACATGACTATCTTTGGATTTGTTTTTAACAGTATGTCACAATACTTGAGAGACTTTGGTTTTCACTGCTTTGTGAAGAATAATTTGCAAACACTGTGATAGAGAATGCTCTCACACAAGCCCAAGGCATGTGATTGTTACTATACAATATAAAAAACTTACATGGCTGTCAAACTCATTTTGAAGGCTCTTGCTACCTGACCATAAAATTCAGTTGTGTGTTTTTCTCTGTTTCCCTTTTATTTTGGGAGCTGGGATTTCCAGGCACTGGACTGACTGTTTTTCTGCTTTGTGAAAGTTATTTGGATTTTCTCTCCAAGTGCTGAGATGTTACCAGCATCACCTACAGCGAAATATTCCTGCAAAAGAAGCATTAAAGAAATATGGCATAGAAAAGTCAGTTGACATCACCACATGTACCAGAGTCTCAAATGCATGGGAAGAAAAACACTTACATCAGCAAATTTGATATATCTTGTGAAATTGCCTTTTAAAGCTCAGTTCGTCTTTTGCTGAAAGCAAAGCAGTTTGGCCTATTTGACATTTAAGGTAGCTTTGAAGTGTGAGGTTTAAATAATCACTTTTTAAAATACTGACTGCAATAATTTTTATCAAGCTTTAATGTACCTTTTTTTTTTTTTTTTCATTAGATTTTGGGTATGTGAAAAGCGAACTCTTGGAAAACCACATCCCGGAAGCACACTTTTTTGTTTGTTTGGGGTTTTAATGTGCCAGCTCAGTATCCCATCTTTTTGAGGCTCCCTTCAGCTTATTCTGATCTTGAACAGAAAAAGCAAATCTTGGAAAATGATCCTGAGCTGTGCTAACAGTTGTTATTCACCTTATGCCACATTTATATCTCTTATTTTTCTCACCTAATTGCTAATAAGTGATTTAGACAGATTTAACACAGTAAAGGGATTGAAGTGGTGCGTGGAAAACATTAAAAAAGCTGCTGGCTCTCTGTGGAATGTGCAGTCCTAGAAAGCTTGGCCAGCATCAGCAGGTTTCCTTTCTCATCCTGAGCAAGCCCTTTTCCAATCAGAACAGGCAGTTCTTTAACAGCCCTGTTACGTTTGTTATGTTGATACTGTAACGCCAACAGTAACAACGGGACACTGGAGGAATCTGAGGAGCTTCAGCATAGAAAAAATGTTACCAGCTGGGAAACGTATCTCCATTTAAACTGGGAAAATCAATAGGTGGAAGACAATCCCAGGAGGACAAGTAGACCTGGAGTCTGTGGTGGGCATGGTTCTCTGCTTCTGGAGCTGCAATCTGGAAGAGGTTTGCTGACCTTATTTGTGGCAGAGATGCTTGGAATAAAGTGGTTTAGAGAATATCCTATTTCCCGTGATGGGTCTACTAGTACAAGGATTTTGTGTGTTGTCAGTACCCAGCTTGCTTTTCAGTACCCAGCTTGCTTTTCAGCATCACATTACAGCTGGCTTCTCAAGCAGTCTGGACTTACTGTGGGTTTGAGTAAGCAAGAAGTTTTGTAATACTCCTTGTTTTTTGCATTAGCCGTGCCATTAATGGTCATAAAAATTGCTAGTTATGGTCAGACCCTGGAGGCCAGTGCTGCAAATATCAGTAGATATTCTGAGAGTCTCAGAAGCCATGCAGAGCGTATGCCAGCAGAGCCACACAATCCTTGAAAATAACTCCTGCAGCAGCAGGTGGAGTAAGTCCTGTTCCATTTCTTCCGCAAGGGACTCTGCTGGTGTTTTAGAGATCTTATCATGACGTGAAAACATCTTTTTCCCTCATATTTCAAAATATTTCTCAAACAATCTCAATGACAGAGGAAATTGCCACCAAGAGCTGTGTTCTACACCACAAAAACATGGGATATAGTCACAAACAGAGGGGCATGTTGTTAGAGGTTACCACCTTTGCATCTCTGGGATTATGTCCTGGCCTATATCCATACTGTCATATTCTCCCTTCAGTCACAGCACACCATTCCTATTATGATAATGGGATGAGGGCAAAATAAATCATTATACTGGGCTGTTCCTTTGCCATTTATGGAGCAATGTTACAGAAGTAAGGCTCATCTTTTGGTCACTCAACTGGGTATATGGGGTTTTTACAATGGCTGAAATTAAATATACAGCTTTTGGGTTGTTACCAAATTTCTAGGAAATAAGTAAGAATTAGTAATGATTCTTTATAGTACTCAAGGTCTTAAAAATATCCTAAGACAGTTTTACATAATCTTGGGGCCAATAGAGAAAACCATTTGTAGGTATTTTCATACCACAAGGAGACTTGAAAATTATATTCAACATGTTCTGTATTGAATATATTTCTCTATAATAGAACTGCATTTTAAATTTTAAGAAAAGTTTCTTCATTCCTTGGAATAGCTTTGGTGGCCAAAATGCCAGTCATAGCTGTGGTATTTGCAAGGATCACACAGTGCAGTTACTGGGCTCTCCACATGTACTGATGGATGAAAGAACCATGCCGAACCTGTGATATTTTGTGAACTCTGTATCAAGGATCATTAGTCAGACCTGTCAGAACCTGAAGCATACATACACCAAACTCCCATATATCCCTTTACAGTAGTAGGCCATAGTAAACTTGTCTGTGAATGCAAAAGGGCAGCAGTAGAGAGGTTGGGTTTAGTTTTTCAGGATCATAACGAGACTGATTGCATAGAACAAAAAGCAGCCTGGGGTTCTGCCTTGGCACAGCACAGTACTTCTAACAGTCTTGAGGTTAATTGATTGAAAAATTCATTGATTTTTTATTTTTTTTTTTCCATCACAGATATCCACATTTCTAGAAAGCAGAAATGACCATGACTGCCAACAAGAATGCCAATGTCAACAGCAGAGCTGGAGGGAGTAAAGTGCCTCAGGACGCTCTGGATAGGTAAGTGGTGAATTGCAGGCTTTGTAGATTCTGTGAAAGGTTTGTCTGTTTGGAACAAAATCTCTGTTCAAAGGAAAATGACCTCTGTTCTGACACAGAGAGCGCTTTGCTGGGCTGAGAGAAGTGTTTTGTAGGGATTGGAGGAACCAAAGTGTGAGTAAAGGTCTGCTTCTGGCATGTTTCTGTCAAGCTATTGCTGTTTGTTGGCTGGTTATGATGAAAATGATTGCAAGGAAGGAACTCTGTGGAAGGCACTGTGTAGGCCTTAGGAGGTTTGGGCTAAATTTCTTGGCCATATGACTGCATGTGAGCTTTTCTCTATTGCCAATCTCCAGTTTGTATTTTGTTTTGGTTTCCGCCATGTTTTCTCTTCTGTTTCTGCCTTGACAGACAGTGGGCAGGCAGTCTCCTGTTTCAGGCCAGAGAGTGAGCATGAAAGGACTGAATGTAAAATACAGGGCTCATCTCTGTTGCTTTGCTTACATGTCCTCCTTTCTGTAGCATCAAAGTAATTTATGAAGTAGAACGACTTTATCACCAACAGTTGGGGGAAATCTGAGCCAAGGACACCTTAAGCTCCCAAAGCCTGACGATTCTGAGGGAATCAGTCTGTTTAGATTGTGCTTCCAAATTTGTGCATGCTTACTTGTGGCTAAGAAACACTATCCTAAGAAAGTTCCAGTCCATCAGAAGGCTGTGATGCAGCTGCATACAGTGGTTCAGATGCCTGTAAATATCAGATACCTTGCAGTCATGAATTAGTACAGTGTAATGACAAGATGGGTAGAGTCAGTTACTGATCCCTTATCTTTCAGTTTATACTGATCACAGGCAGTGCTCTGAAAACAAGATGTTTTCTTTGGGGAGCTCTGCTTTGGAATATTGCTTTGGTACGCAAGTAAAAACTCACCTGCAGCCAACAAGTTCTCATATCCAGGTCAGCAGGAGTCTTGTTTTCAGCCACAGCCTTTACAAAGTAATGCTGACAGATTCAGCCTGTGGTCTTCACATAGGACAAGCCCACCAGCTGCTCTTATTTTGGGGCTGACAGTTGCAAATCCCTCACTTAGATCTAAAGGCAGCCTCAGTATGCTTTGATTGGGAAAGCTTAGACTACCGTCAGGCTACAGAACCTTTATGGATTAATCATTTGAACACAGGAGCAAAGCACTAGGCTTTGGATGTCATCTTAGTGAGGTGAGTAGAAAGCCACATAAACTGTGAAGGCTCTTTCTTCAAATGCATGAAATATGTCTGTTGACATATCTCTGTCCTTACTGTAGCATTTTGTCCAGCTCTCCAGGGGATTCTTGCATGGCTATCTTGTCCTGCTCTGTTTTGAGGGTCTATTCTACACTACCTTACACAATAACATGCCACTGTCTCAATTTTTCTTGTGTTTTGGCTCAAAGCAAGACTTTAACCCTATTATAAACAACATAGAGGAGAAATGTGCAAATAACTTGCTCTGGCCTTATAGAGTCTCTGTACTGCACTAATATCTTTGTGTTAGTTAATGGACATAGAAATAAAGAAGATGCTCTTTGCCTTACAAAGTTCAACATGTAACTCTGTAAGGCATTCAGTGGGTTGCAGTGAAATGGGTCTGTGCCAAAAAATGAATGTTATAAAGGAAAAAGTAGTGGAGGTCCTATTTATTTGTAGGACATTTTGGAATAAGAGCATAAGTTGTACCAATGTCAATGAAATACTACTATCACTTTGGGCAGGCTGCATCTGTTCTTGCCATCACTAACTGAGGGTACTACACCTGACAAGCTGTACCAGGGTTACTAGCTGACAGCAGCACAAGAACATTACCGTTTCAAATACTTTAGTAAAGACTGTGATTCAAGTGAGTGGATCATGGAATTACTGTTTGATTTCATCCACTTGAAAGTAAGATACCAGAGGCAAAAACTCCCTGTATTGGCAGCTGCCAGGTATAGAACATCTGGTGTAGATGGAGAAATTCAGGCAGAAATTGAGAAGAGCTGGCTTTAATCATAACAGAGAACTGTAGGTCAACTTGAAAGCAACGTTGAATATTGGCTTGGTTTGAGATACCTGCCATTATATTATGAACATTTTCAAATGCCAACAATGGAAAAGGGAAAACAGGAATCAAATTCTGAGATTTTCAGGATGGAAGCAATAGAAGAGATTCTTCCTCCCTTCCTCCTTCCCTCCCTCCCTCTCTCCCCTCTTTCCCCTCTTTCTTCCCCCCCCCCAACTTCTTTTCTGTTTTTATTTAGAGGAAAAACTCTTTTTAATGACACAACTCTGTTTTGCATTTAAATGCGCTAAGCTTGTTCTTGGTTTTGGTTGTGTTTCCTTATTTCATGCACATATGGCTGCATCTGTATTGCCTTCTACTTCTGAAAACTTATCTCTTACTTCCAGCTCTCTGCTACACCTTCCCACTTATCTACATACATTATTGAATCCCAGGCAATATTCCTGAACTGGATAAAATGGCCTCATGCTGATTACCAAGGGACAGGTTGCCCTACAAAGTAGTGACTAAGAATCAAGAGCCTTAGCCAGAACCCTGACCCTAATCCTGTCTCTCCTAGTGACGTTGCAACATTGTCACACCCTTCCTGTGTCTAAACCTTTCATTAGGTTGATTTGCCTTTCTTCCTTCTGATGCTGTTCTTCTTTTTAAATTGTGCAGTTGACTAAAGATACAGATGACCAGCATCTGTTCTAGTTCTTTTATTAGGCATGTTATGCTGTGCTAAAGTTCAGCAGAAATGGACTCGATATCCTCGTATGTTTCTCAGTTTACTAGTTTGTGTGCTTGGCATCTCATAGTACAAAACAGTGAAAAATATAAAATAAAAGGGGAGTGAGGGTGGCTAGAGGAATTTCTACAGAGCGATGCATATGTAGACATTAAAACCAGATCCCTAATGATATCTGGCGTTCATTTATCCTCCTTCCACCAGTGCAGGCAAATTGGTGGTGGGAACTTGGGTCTAGACTTAAGCAAACTTTGGACCTGGTTTTTGGGTTTAAAATCTTTTCCATTCTGAATATCTTAGAAAGTACTGTGGGATAGTTATTGGATAACAATGGTCAAATAAACTTTCCTTATCATCACCATCTGGTTTAATTAGAATTTGTCAGGAAAAGATTTTGTAAGTACAAGTACGGACCTGAAGCTATGAAAAATCTTTTGAGTTGCACTTGTGTGACAAATGAGGAAATGAATAGGTTGTCATGCACCATTTCTCCATCCATTATTTTGCTTTATGTCATCTTCTCCATCCTTTATTTTGCCTTATGTCATCTTCTTCACCTGTCTTTGTGAAACCCTGTAAGAGGATGTTATTTGAGTCAACCATGAGCATTCTTCATTTTAGTCAGACTGTAAATCAGCAAAGTAAGTGCTGGCATAATAAAAGTTTAAGGCTTTCAGGATTTATTGCCAGCATGTTGAAAGATTCACTGAAACTGAGCAGTCATTGTCTCCATTTAGTACGGGATTTGACTGGAGATTTGGAAATCTGCAAATGTGCTTTCTCTGTATATAACCTGTGGGAGTAGAGTTTCAGTAAGTGCTGATACTGGCAAAACACTGCTGTATTAGTCTCCTGGTGGCTAGGACAGCTTTAGGACAGCTAGGACTGTTATTTTTGGTGGGGTTTATTGTTGCAAGTTGGGCTTGATCTTGAAGGTCATTTCCAACTTAAATGCTTCTATGATTTCAAGACGCGAGGTGTGTTTCAGTGATAGAGTGTCACCATCTGGTTCAACCTTTTGTGGTTCCTTATGTGTCAGAAGCAAGGGTCAGTAAAGTCTATAGAAGTCTTTCAAATTCCTTTGGCTGTTAATTAGGCCCTCCTAGATCATGGATTTAAATTTTAGTCAGAAATATCTTCAGTGAAAAGGAGGTGCCTACAAGTAAAAATCTATAAAACTGCATCAAGATTATTGCAGTACCTAAGTTTGGTCCTTACCAGAGTGGGGATCTATTGATATGAGACACCACAGCCATTTTTCCACCAGAGTTGTGCTAACGGCAGTTTAGGAAATGAGGCAGAGACAGAGAGGAGAGTGAGGGAGGATAACTGTGAATCTCACCTGAGAAACTGGTTGTGAGATTCACAGGCTTCTGCTGTAAACACAGGAAGGGAAAACCTTTGTAACTGAAGCAAGTGAGGCGATTTAAATAAACACCATCCACACCGATGCATTCTTTCTGAAGTTATCTGAAGTTCATTCACCATTCATTACAAATGGAGATTTTTGTGTGTCAAGCTAAACTTGACTGTGAGACAAACTTGACTGTGCTCGGAATAGGAAAATTGTAGAAAGATGATGAAGGTGGTAGAAGGTATGGAACATTTTGACTACAAGGCAAGAATAAAGTGAGTGTGAATCTTCATCCTGAAAATGAAAGAATTAAAGGGAAAGAAGGGGTAATAGAAGTCTCCAAAATGATATATGGAATGTAGTCAGTAAATAGGGGGAAAAAAATCTTTCTATTTAAGAACCTATATGAATCAAATGAAACTGCAAGATGACAGGCTGAAAATAATTTGAGAAGAAGGTACTTCTCTGCAGCATGTTTTTAACTATGGAACTTACTATGCAGGATGTTGTAATTGGACAAATTCATGGAAGAAAAATCTACCAAAGGCCTTTAGCCACTGAAACAAAACCTGTGAGTCAACAGACTGTTAAACTGGTTAAATAGCACTGTATGCTCATCTTGTTCTTACGCTGTTCTCTAGGCACCTGCTAACCGTCATGGTCAGTGACAGAGCTTGGAGTAGGCATGCTTTTTGGCCCAAGCCAGTGGGGTTGTCTGGAACAGGAGTCAATTACAGGAAGCAAATATTAGAGAGTTTGCACAAGGATTGTTACACTTACGAAATAAGACTTTCTGCCTTTCAGTGAGCTTCAAGGACACAACTTTAATCCTAACTTGTGAGTCACTGAGGTGAGCACCAAGGAGCAGGAAGTTAGGAAAGCACCTTATGTGTAGCTAA